CCATAATAAAAGGTAAACCCTGATTTCTCCTCCCTGGTTTTTGTTGGTTTTACTAAATCAGCCAAGGGTTGTGATGCACAAGGCCCATGGAGGTAACGTCAGCTTGGCTGAGGTCACTTGTGCAGCCTGCACACTCTTAACTGCAAGGAAAGACAAGGACACCTGAGTTCATAAAACACGACTGAGGATTACTCCCCAGATGTCTCAAGTTGCTTGAATAACCACAAAGAGGAATTGTTAATGCTGTCGAAGTTATAAAACACAGCACGTGCTCATCAGAGGTGAGCAACAGTAACTCCAGGATGGATTGTGCATTCCTTATCCCTCCTACACAGCACAGGAAGAAATGGTGTTCCCTTCCATCCCCACACTAAAATCAGCATTGCAGACATTCCAAAGGCGCAATGAACTGCGTGTGAAGACACAGCGTGTCCCATGTGCAGGTGTGGGAAACGTTAAAGTTGGGTCAAAATCAGTGTCACAGCCAACACCCTGAAACGGGCACAAAGTCAGCTTGAAGAAGTGATGCATTAAAGGTTTCGATTTTCCCTTGGAAAGCTGAATCTCAGGGATCTGTGTTCAACAGACCCAAGACACTTCCACTCATTCATTTGCTTCTGAATGTATCTGTGTGAACGCATCACCTGAAGGTGCTTCACGCAAGCGTGTGCATTGCAGAGAGCACCAAGTCCAACTTCAATCAGAAAAGAACAACAAATTTAACAACAAATAAGCTTCCAATTGGCTTCTGATAAAACTGAATTGAAACTACAAGGGACCAACAAGTTTCATGCTATCCTCGAAAAAGAAGCAATTCAAAAGAAATTTTCTTTGCTTCCATCCCTTCTGTCACAGAAATGAAACGCGAAGGATGGATTTTGGTCAAATTTCCAATTTAGTGCACTCTGGAATGGAGGCCTTGCAAAAAACCTCCTTCAGAACAAGAGTTTTCACAAACATTTAATCAAGAAAGTGGAGTAGAAGCAGTCCTGTAGCCTCAAAATGAGCATCACAACCAATTCTACCTGTGCCATTTTAAACGTTTGCTGAGTTACGCTTGCAGAGCGGGGTATCGATGCCAGCTCCTTACCTTCCTTCAGTCTTCCACTCCGTCCACTGTCCAGTTGCAAACTTATACTCAAAGAGATCATTTTTGTTCTTCAGGTTGGAATTGGAATAAATGTCTCCGGTATAACCACCTGGGCAACAGCAATCCCATTAGACTCAAACACAACAGAAGGTACTTGTAGTTGTTATGCTAGAAGAAAACTTAAGTTTAGATCACACAAAGAGAAGGTATTTGGCTAATGCACTGCTACAGATGGGAGATTCAGAATCACAGAATGGCAGCGTGGTTTGGGTTGAAGGGACCTCACAGCCCCCCCAGCCCAACCCCCATGGACAGGGACACCTCCACCAGCCCAGGCTGCTCCAAGCCCCATCCAACCTGGCCTTGGGCACTGCCAGGGAGGGGGCACCCACAGCTTCTCTGGGCAACCTGGGCCAGGGCCTCCCCACCTCACAGGGAAGGATTTCTGCCCAATATCCAGTCTAAATCTACCCCTTCCAGTTTAAAACCATTCCCTCTTGTTCTATCGCTACCTGCCCTTGTAAACAGTCCCTTCCCAGCTTCTCTGTAGGACCCCTTCAGGAACCTGAAGACAGCAATAAGGTCCCCTCAGAGCCTTCTCTACTCCAGGCTGAACAACCCCAACTCTCTCAGTCAGTCCTCATAGGGAAGATGCTCCAGACCCTGAGCATCTTTGTGGCCTCCTCTGGACCCGCTCCAACAGCTCCATGCCCTTCTTATATTGGAGGCCCCAGAACTTCTCCTCCACTTCCACCCCTAAAGAAATGCCACGACAATGAGTTTCAAGTCTTCTTTTCTTTAGAAAAAACAGCAGAGTATTTCCAAGCTAAAGTTGAAATCACAGTCAACCATGAAAAACACCGGCTTTGCTACTGAGTAAGATTTTTTGATGCTTCCCAAAAACGTCCCATACTTTCTCAAAGCCACACCAGCAGGTTTATCACTCCAAGCACACACAACTGCAATCTGCCGCTGCCTTACCAAACACAAACATGCTGCTCCCGTAGACCACAGCTGAGTGGTGATACCGCGGTGCTGGCGGGGTCCCCGTGGTAAAAGCCCTGCACAACATTTAGAACAGCAGCAGTCAAACACCCCTCGTCACGATTCAGGCACTCATATTGCGCAGATTCAAAACAGAAACAAATGTTTAAAGTTATGCTACTGTTCCTGAGTGCTTTCACCAGCTTCGGTTTCTGAATTGCACTGCAATTTTACACTGATTTTCTGACAGACTCGGTGCTGTAAGCGTAAACAGTTACAAAGGCAACGCTGCTGCAATCTGCTTGGCAGAGACAGCAAACGAGGCACAGGTGAGACAACACAGACTGCACAGTCCAGAGCCACGGAGCAAAGGCAGAGACATCTGTGAGCAACATTCCCTGCCCTGAGGGCTGCAGCAGCCCCATCCCTCTGCCCACGCACCCTTTGAGCACCCTCACAGGGTGCAGGAACAGTGGCAACGCGCGGCTCTGTCCATTGCTGTGCTGCCCAGCAGCCCTTTGCAGGCAGGAGCTGTGCAAGAGCACCCAATACCTCCCTGACAGCTCAGCCACACAGGAGCGAAGAGGTCGTGTGCCACTGCACTCGGGTGGGGGTGATGCTTCCCCCCCGGCAGAGCCCCCAGCTTTTACACCTGGGGCCGAGGAAAGATGAGGCATCGCCCAGCCCTGCAGGCCGGGAGGGGCCGAGCCAGGGGGAGCCCACCTGCACCAGGAGCAGTCCTTCACGTCGAAGCGCAGCAGGTCGTTCAGCATCGTCTTCCTGTGGGGAGCAACGAGAGGCGGCTGAGCCGGGCCGCGGTGTCGGCGACGG